ATGGAAAAGGATCACCATGATGTGTCTTCATATCCAGTTTCTCATGCCAGCCATCTACGAGAAAAGGTTCTGTAGCGGAGAGCTGCTATTACACAGGTTATCTCCACTTAAGATCCCAGTGAGGCTCAGGAACAAGTATTATAAATCCATAAGGCAATAATTCCAGCAGTCAAAACAATCCAACAATATCCCAACATCAATCCCAATGACTGGACGACACACAGCATCAGGAGCAGAACTGAACTTTTAGTCATTTCAACTTCTTTTAAAGCATTCTCCCATGCAAGGGAGGGATTTACAATAATTATTACAGTAGCCAATCATACATGAGTTGCCGCCCACATATTCCCTCCCCTTAGCCTGACTCATAATCCCATTATGCAGGACACAAATTCCCTGGGTTTCTGGATGTACCCCTAAACATAGGGGTACCCCTTTAAATATTATATTCCCTGGTAGCCCTGATCTGGGTGAAGAACATATCCAAAAATCACCCAGATCAGACCAGGGGTTCGGGAGATTTGTGGAAGTAGTAAAAAGACCGACCGCACTGGAGGTAACAGCCGAAATTGATTCCATGCACTTTGGCCCTGCGGTCGGTCACAGAAAAAGGGAATAAACTGCCCGAATGACTTGGGCTTTGGAGACTGGAGAGGATTCGAATGAATCCCCTTGTTCTTGTGTTTCTGTCGTTCGATAGTTTCTACACTAATTTACGGGTAGTGTGGAGGTCTCAGCGGTGTTTGCCTAGCTGAGTGTCCGATTTGGGTTCCAGACACTCAACGGCAAAATATTGCGGTTCAGGAGTTTTAAAATGGCCGCCGCCACGTGTTCGTTTCCCGAAAGGTGGCCACCCAGAGGATAAAACACACATTACACGAATCACCAATTACTTGTTTGCAATAAACTTGTTTGGAATATCTCCTTCGACAGTGAACTAAGCTGGCTGCACGAGCATAAGCTACTCCCGAGCGCTGAAATCGTGGAGCACGATGGCCACCCTCAGTCTTGCGAGATTAAAGATAGCCACCGCAGCTCAATCATAATGGGCCGCGTGTCCAGCCTGCGCCAGACTCGAGAGTGCAGCGCAGCAGGGGGAAAAGGCCGCAATCGTGCAGGGATTACTGGAGAAACAGAGGGAAGGGGGAACAACCACCCAGGAGCCGGTGGAACCAGCTGGAGGGTAAGGAGCAAGGTCCAAAAGCTCCTAAGTCCCTTAGTGTCACGGGTGCAGCTACAGCGGATCCCAGGAACTAGGAGCTTGAATATGCAGACCTCCCAGGAACTGGATAGGGGGGCTCTGCAGCAGACGTATCCAGTACAGAAACAAGGCAAGGCTAGAACAGGCACCAAACAAGAGAAAATGAGTAGAACCCAGAACCAGAGAAGGATAGAAATCTAAAACCAGAACATGTACACAATACATAAAGGGAACATTAACTAAACAGGGGCAGGACAGGACAGGACTGTACATGGACTGGGTTAACAAAATAAAACAAGACAAGATATAATAGGCAAAACAAGAGGAGACATAACTAAGCACTATATATGAAAAATATGGGGATTTAGTTACATTATATGATCATACATTGCATAAGCCTGCCACAACGCCAATGTACCCCATATTCGGCAGGTCCTACACTGCCTAATGTTCGCTAAAAGAACCATACTAAACCACAATAGCACTTACCTGCAAGATAGGGCAGAGACTTGAAACACTGCTGTAGGTCCAGACTGAAACAAAAGGAAAATGGAAAACAAACAGGTGTGGCAACATAAAACAAACATTTAAATGAATCCAAGAGACTGGAAAATCTAGGGACGGAATATAAGAATGAACCCAGAAACCCAGCATAAAGAAAACCAGACATAGAATAGAAAACCAGAAAACCAAAAAAAACTAAACAAGTGCGGTCGGTCTTTTTACTACTTCCACAAATCTCCCGAACCCCTGGTCTGATCTGGGTGATTTTTGGATATGTTCTTCACCCAGCCTCCTGCCTTATGACTATTGCCCTGGGTTGTATGGCACTTTAAAAACATTATTTGGGCATATTGGATTGTAACACACTTTTTCTGCCCCTTTAATTCCATGAGAAAATGTGCCTCTTCACTTGCACCTTTTTTCTGTCTATTGTTTCTCCAGCAAGGCGTTGTCCCAGGGACACTGCCAGACCAGTTTAAACTGGCCGCTTTGTCCCTCCTCAATCTCTCATCAGCCCTTGCTAAACTTTAACCTCATGGCGATTTTATTGTGTTCGTGGGATCTGAGCGCTATTCGGATATATCCAAGCTATTTGGGGATAGGTGAATTTGGGGGTTCTGTTCAGTATAATAGGAATTATGTATTTTTATGTATTTTTACTGTTGTAAATGGAGATATTCCCTGTACCTGGAGATAATTAAGTTAACATATCCACTTAAGCCAATTATCTCCAGGATAGAGGAGAAGACCGGCTGCACAGCCTAAATCTGTGGAACTGTTTTGTGCAGGAAAGCCATGCTTGCAGTCGGTCAAATAGGACTTCCACCTATCTTTTGAACCACTGGACCAAATTGTATGATTTTTTTATATGTTTATTTACTGATTATGCTGGTTCAGAATATGTAACTTTTATGAAAATGCATGTAGGGTTTGGAAGTTATGAATATTGTATAAAACTGTATATTTTCCTGCCTGTGATAATTAAGGTTAACCCATTGTGTTCAGTAATTATATCACAGGCATAGGGGAGGATGTGTGTGCCTTGGCTGGGAGTGTCTGACTGTACTGTTCTGTTTTGATTGGCTATTGTAACTGCATGTCCTGTGTACCACCAGGTCCACGTGGGTGGTAACCTGGTGGGAAAACTTGTATAAAAGAAAGTCCTTTGGTGCTCATTAAACATATTTGCTCACTGGAAGCTGGATCCTGGCCTTGGGTCCAGGGTGAGTGAAGGACAGCGAGACCCCGGCGCAGCTGCATCGCTGGAAGTGGAGTCTGCAGTGCTGATGGTGTCGGTTGGATTGCTTGGAGTCTTCTGCAAGCACTAGGAGCAACGATTAGCGGAGGTACTCGGTCGCAGTGCCAGCGTTCCGTCACAGAAATAATTTCTCAATGCTTTCCTGTGGACGCTCTGTGCGATGGAGGCAAAATTCGCCTCCAGCGTCGCAGATGCACCTCTAGTGGCTGTCTGGAAGACAGCCACTAGAGGCTGGATTAACCCCATCTCTGAAACTGTTATGTTTACATGTGAAGGGTTAAAACCTGAGGGACCTTGCACCCAGACCACTTTATTAAGCTGAAGTGGTCTGGGTGACAATAGTGTCCCTTTAAGCTGCAGTCTTCAAATTAAATGGGCTTCTTGCAGGGGTGGATGCAAAACTGGCCCTTTAAGCTGCAGTCTTCAAATTAAATGGGCTTCTTGCAGGGGTGGATGTAAAACAGGCCCTAAAGAGTAGAGAAACTGTTATTTAAAGGAATTTATGGCTAGGAGTGGCAAAGGGGGTGGTGTGAAGGAAGAGCTTATGGTTGAGCAGAATACAATTACAATATTTGCCAACCAGAATACTATCAACCAGATTATTAATAATTACATGTAACTGCAAGTACACAATTATAAAGTACTAAACTACTGCTACAAATAGTAACATTCTTATAGTAAATTAATAATGTAGTAACAAAGATGAAGGAAATCTGGTAGAATAGCTTCTGATTCTCAGTCTGTACCTTTAAGGTGCAGTCTTCAAATTAAGTGAGCTTCTATAAATATAAATATTTTATGGGAAATTACAGCCCTATTTATCCTGAACAAAATTATATATAATAAATGTTGGTGCATGTAATATGTAAGAGGCAAATTATGATTGAACAAACATGTAGTTCAAATTCTGTTTTATTATGGCCAGAACTTGTACAATTGCCTCCATTTTGTGTTAATAATGCATATTTACTGTATAGGTCATGCCCCTGAAGTTTCACTGCTCAATTCTGTGCCATTAACCCCTTAAAACTGCCGGGCGTACTATTACGCCCTATTCTATACGGCTCTAAACGCCGCAGGGCGTAATTGTCTTACTTACCCGGTCACGGTTTTTCTTACTTACCCGGTCACCGGCGATCCCACGCCGGCGTTCGCGGTCTCGGGACTCACCTGGGATCCCAGGGAGTCCCCCACGGTGGATCCTGCCTCCTCCCCATATATAAATAAAAATATTTTTACAAAATTATATATATTTACATATATATACACATATGTGTGTGTGTGTGTGTATATATATATATATATTAATTCTACATATATATTTGTGTAATATTTTTACATAATTAGGTATTTTAATTAATTACAATTAGCGGAACCTGCCTGACAACCCATGCTGAAAGTATAGGGAATTTAATTTGCTAGCACTATATTTAACCCTATAACTTTACAAGACACCATAAAACCTGTACATGGGGGGTGGGGGGAGGGGGGAGGGTACTGTTTTACTCTGGAGACTTCGCTGAACACAAATATTTGTGTTTCAAAACCATAAAATGTATTACAATGATGATATCACCAGTAAAAGTGATGTTTTTTTGAATTTTTCACACACAAACAGCACTTACATGGACGATATTATTACTGTGATACTTTTTACTGGTTTGAAACACAAATATTTGTGTTCAGCGAAGTCTCTGAGTACAACATTACCCCTCATGTACAGGTTTTATGGTGTTTTCAAAAGTTACAGCATCAAATATAAGGCTTGTGTTTCCTTTTTTTCACATTACAATTCACCAGATTGGTTACGTTGCCTTTGAGACCCTATGGTAGCCCAAGAATGAAAATTACCCCTACGATGGCATACCATTTGCAATAGTAGACAACCCAAGGTATTGCAAATGGGGTATGTCCAGTCTTTTTTAGTAGCCACTAGAGGCCGCTTCCGCGATTTACATGCATTTAAATTGCACTTATTTGACGCCATTGGTGTGCACAGCCTATTGCATTAGGGTGTGCATCCTAAAGCACAAACAAACACGCCACGTGTATATGTGTGTGTGTGTGTGTGTGTGTGTGTATATATATATATATATATACATACACACACACACACACACACACACACATATATACATACACTGCTGTGTGAGGGTGCTGTGTGTGTGAAATTGTTTGGAGTGATTGTGTGTGGGGTTGGGGGGGACAGATTAGGCTAGGACTTGCTGCCATCCCGGGTTGTCCTAGTGGTGAGTGAACTCTAGCCTGCAGGGCTAGAGTTAACTCTCGCGAGCTCTGAGCCTTGCTGCGGCAACAGTCCGACCTTGCGAGAGCTCCCCGGGTCCTGTCCTGCCTCCATCCATGCCTGTTCTCTTGGATAGCGCTGGCTCTGCATGGACTGACAGTGGAGATCCTGTGGTCTCCCTTGCCGGCCTCGATCCATGCGGGGGCCGCCCAGGCACACCCTGTGCGCACACCTATGTTTGACGCTGGATGTCCTCACGGAGTCCAGCAGGTGGGTTTGAACGCTGCAGGCCTCTGGCCACGCATGTGCATTTGGCTCCACTTGGAAGCTGACGTCGATGTAGGACGAGAGGTCACCAGTGCTGAGGGAGCCTGGTGCTGGATTAAGGTAAGGAAATAAATGGTTAATTAACCAATTTTTTGCCGCGGATCGGGCCGTAGTCACCTAAATGGTGACTAGGGCTCTATAGCATTAGGAATACATATTTGTATTCCTAATGATATAGTGTTCTTTTAAGAAAATTATATATTCCCTAAAAGAACATGCAGAAACATGTTAAAGAAGTCTATGTTTAAATAGAAAATCAGGCATAATCTTCTCCGACCAAGTGTGTAAGGAGGACATACAGAGAGAATGGTAAGCCGTGGAGAAAAGACAAGCCACAAGATACTGATTGTCCAGATGGTAAACTTACCAGGATGGAGCTTTTTCAAAGATTATTTCTTCTTGTTTTGTAAAAGAACATTCGAAAGGTAAACAAGCTTGCAAGCTGGTGATATGGATTAACCCCTTCAGGACGGGTGACGGACGAGGTCCGTCACACAGGGGAGACCCTTAACGACGGGTGACGGACCTCGTCCGTCACGCGGTAAAATTAACCCCGGATCGCCGCTATCGCGGCGATCGCGGGGTTAATGGTGCTCCCGGTATGCCTCTGCATTAGAGGCATACCGGGAGCACCCGGTCAGGCTGCCCAGCACATGTGCTCGCTCTGACCACAAGTCAGAGCGAGCACATGTGCTCTGTATACTCACCTACCGGCTCCCTGCACTTCCGGGTTCTGTGTGAAGTGCAGGGAGCCGGATCAGTGCTGATCCTGCCCCCTGCTGGAAAAAAAAATAAAGTTTATTTAAAGTCCCCCCCCCTTACCCATTTTAATAAAAAATTAACCCCTTCCCTGCCAATTGATCACTGACTACAGTGATCAATTGGCAGGGATTACATTTTACTATGATCTGATTTTTTTTTTTAACCCCTGAGGGTTAATTCTTTTTTTTTTAACCCTCAGGGGTTAAATTAATTAAATTAATTAATTAAATTATTTTTAAATTATATATTTAGATAGCTGGGGTAGGTGGAAGTTAGTGGGGAATTGGGGGATTTGGCGTTAGGCTAACTAGGGGTTAACGTTAAAAAAAGTTTTAAAAGAAACTTTAAAAAGTTAAAAATTAAGCTTAAAAAATGTTTTAATAACATTTAAGTAATAAAAACAAAAAAACACACTTTACCTAGTCCAAATAAAAATTAACCCCTTCCCTGCCAGTCGATCACTGCCTACAGCGATCAAATAGAGATCACAGTATTATACTGTGATCTAATTTTTTTTAACCCCTGAGGATTAACTTTTATTTATTTTTTTAACCCTCAGGGGTTCAATTTATTTAATTAATTTAAATATTTTATAACTATATATTTTGCTAGCTGGGGTGGGTGGGAGTTATGGGAAAATGGGGAATTTACTGTTAGTGCTGCGTACTGCTAGTTAGGGGTTAACAGTAAAAAAAATAGCTTAGAAAAATGTTAAATCTGTAAAAAAGTTTTAAGAAAGTTTAGGAAAGTTTAAAAAAAATTTATAAGCAAAACAAAAGTTTAAAAACTAGTTTTTAAAAGTAAAAAAGTTATAAAAAGTAAAAAAATACATTTTAAAAACGCTCATTACCACTACACCTGGAACAAACTAGAGAAAAAATTATCCCACGCCAAGGTTCAAAATATGCCTTTTGAATTACCCCAGGGTGTATTCTTTAATAAATAGTATGTGTTTGTGGGGAAGTTTCAATAACCAACCGTCTAAACTATTCCAAATTGGAACATGGACACAGCGTAAAACTTCAAAGTTAGAAAAAAACTGAATGGCTGCGTCTCAAATGCGCCCCTTCAACATCCACATATACCTGGCAAAGGTACATACGGGGGTATTGCTGTACTCAGCCGACATAGCTGAGCAACATATGAAGTATTATACAGTCATAGCACACATAAGGTTTGCAAAATATGCTGCGCAAACTCACTTTGTATGTCAAAAAGGCAGAAAAAATGCTTATTACCACTACACTTGGTACAAGCTAGCGGAAAAATGATCCCACACTAAGGTTCAAAATATGCCTTTTGAAATACCCTGGGATGTCTTCTTTAAGAAATGGTATGGCTTTATGGGGAATTTGGATTATATAGCCTGGTAAAATACTCTAAAATGGGACATAGGCACAGCATAAAAATTCAAAGTTTGAAAAAAACTGGAATGGCTGTGTCCCAAATGTGCCCCTCCGATGTCCACACATACCTGGCAAAGGTACATACGGGGGTATTGCTGTACTCAGCCGACATAGCTGAGCAACATATGAAGTATTATACAGTCGTAGCACACATAAGGTTTGCAAAATATACTGTGCAAACTCACTTTGTATGTCAAAAAGGCAGAAAAAACGCTTATTACCACTACATCTGGTACAAGCTAGCGGAAAAATGATCCCACGCTAAGGTTCAAACTATACCTTTTGAAACACCCTGGGGTGTCTACTTTAAGAAATGGTAGGCCTTTGTGGGGTAGATTGAATTTAAAACCTGCGAAGATGCTTGGAAATTGCACATAGGCCCAGCGTCAAAATTCAAAGTTTGGTAAAAACGGATATGGCTTGGTCTCCTATATGGCACTGTAGCTTCACAAAATAGTGACAAAGACATTCATTGGGGGTGTATTTTTACTCAAAAGACTTAGCTGAGCATAATTTGGGAGGTTTGAACTTAGTGGCACATATGAAATATACAAAACGCCCAGCAAAAATGCAATCCGTATGTAAAAAATGCACAAAATAATTTTTTTACCACATACTTTGGCATATATTGGTGAAAAAATGGGGGTATGTTAAGGCACAATATGCACCTTATGAGATACCCTGGAGTGTCTACTTTTACAAATGGTAGGCCTTTGTGGGGGTTTTTTGAACAGTCAAACTGTTATAATACCCCAAATGGAAGCTAAGGCTCATTAAATCCATCTCTCAAAATTCTACTGTGAATACTGTAAAGGACAGGTCTCCTATATGGCACTGTAGCTTCACGAAATAGTGCCAAAGACATTCATATGGGGTGTCATTTTACTCAGAAGACTTAGCTGAGCATAATTTGGGGTTTTGAACTTAGTGGCAAATATGAAATATACAAAACGCCCAGCAAAAATGCAATCCGTATGTAAAAAATGCACAAAATTATTTTTTACCACATACTTTGGCATATATTGGTGAAAAAATGGGGGCATGTTAAGGCACAATATGCACCTTATAAGATACCCTGGAGTGTCTACTTTTACAAATGGTAGGCCTTTGTGGGGGTTTTTTTGAACAGTCAAACTGTTATAATACCCCAAATGGAAGCTAAGGCTCATTAAATTCATCTCTCAAAATTCTACTGTGAATACTGAAAAGGACAGGTATCCTGTATGGCACTGTAACTTCACGAAATAGTGCAAAAGACATACAATGGGGGTGTCATTTTACTCAGCAGATGTAACTGAACACAAAATAAAACTTTGTACAGGAATAGCACACACCAACTTTACAAAATATACACGAGAATTTCTCTGTTATAAGTTTGTGTGCCAAAAACCAAAAAGAACACAATTTTACTCCAATATTTAGCAGAGGTTGGCGGTGAAATGGCTACGTAGAAAGTGTCAAAACAACCTTAGGTAAATAGCCCGTGATGTCTACTTTATATAAATATATACTTTTGTGTGGCAATTTTGTTTTCTTTTATGGCTATTAAGCTTACAAGACAAACATACCAAATTCTAAAATCGCTCCACATTAAAATTTTATTTTACTCCTTGTGCTTTGTGACCTGTAACTACCAAAAAAAACTTAAAATCCCAGACACATTATATATTCTGTAAATCAGAACAAATAAATAAATTTATTTTTAATTACTTTCCTTAACCTGCACTAATTATGCACACATTATTATTGCAAAAACTGTAAAAAAAAACCCAATATTTTTCATTTTTTTTGCATTTTTCTGTATTTTTTTATAATAAGTAAGCATTTATATATATATATGTTATATCAAATTAAAGCCCTTTCTGTCCTTTAAAAACAGTATATAATATGTGTCGGTGCAATAAATGAGAGAGATGCAAATTGCAGTTGAACGCAAACAGCAAGAAAATGCAAAAATTGCTTGTGTCATTAAGCGTAAGTCAAGCTTCTGAAGCTGTGTCCTTAAGGGGTTAAGGACTGAGCCAAATGCGCACGTTGTGATCAAAAGAAAACGTAAACAAAAACTTTAATTTGTGCTATGTCTGTTCAGGCGTAATTCGCCTCTTTCATATTATGTGCACCCACACTTATTATTTTATTCAAGGGAAACCGGGCTTTCATTTAACATCAAATATTTAGGTATGAAACATTTAATATGAATAAAATATAAAAAAATGAGAGAAAACAAGAATTGTAATTTTTTGCTTTTTTTAGTTCTACGTGACATTTTAACTAGGAATGTCACAATACTGTTTACTTTTACTGCAATAAAATACACGTTTGTATTCAGCGATGTCTCACGTGTAAAACAGTACCCCCTATGTACAGGTTTTATGGTGTTTTGGGAAGTTACAGGGTCA